CAGAATCTTAGCTAGAGATTCTCCCGAACCCCTGCAAACCTCCAGCAGCCCACTCTGGATTCTAGTATGGCTAGTGCAATTCCCTGATCCAGCCCATGACCTCCTCTTCTTTGACCTCTTCCCTTCCTCTAATCCTGTTTTCATTCACCAAGCCAGACCCCCAATTTCCCCTTGCTTAGCCTCCGTACATCTGGTACATGGATCATAAAAAGAGGATGGAGCTTCAACTGTATAATTTTTATAATTTTAAACTGTTTACTCTTCAATTATTCTGATTTTAGTGTTAATTTTCTTGATTATATTGTACCTAATGTACCTCTGAGGCAGAGGTGGTATTCAGCAGGTTCTCACGAGTTCTGGAGAACCGGTAGTGGAAATTTTGAATAGTTTGGAGAACCAGTAAATACCACCTCTGACTGGCCCCGCCCTATTCTATTCTCTGCCTCCCAAGTCCCAGCTGATCAGGAGGGAATGGGGATTTTGCAGTAACTTTCCCCTGGAGTGCAGTGGGAATGGAGATTCTACAGTATCCTTCTCCTGGAGTGGGGTGGGAATGGAGATTTTACAGTAACCCTTCTCCTGCCATGCCCACCAAGCCACGCCCACAGAATGGGTAGTAAAATTTTTTTGAATCCTACAACTTCTCTGAGGGAGATGGGTGGTTACAAAACATGAAAAATAAACAAACAGATAAATACATAAATAAAAGGTGGGGTCCCCATTTTCACCTTTTTTTAACATTCTGAAGATACCCCTGCATTATCCAATTCCTTTTAAAGCTTATTGGACATGCTGGTTTTTGACTGTAATAAAGGCTGGTTTTGATTTATTCTTATTGCATAATGTGCCTTAAAGGTTAAGTCAGTAATCATGCGTTATAATCCTTTCTTACCTTCTTTGTGCAGCACATTATTATTTCGTACTGGTACTTAATATCAAGTTGTTTGAAAATGTCCACTACGGTCAGAGGAGAGTTATTTTTATCCTTGAAAGGTGTGTAAGGAGGCTGAATAACAAACTTGATGGACCGAATGCTGGGTGTATAGTTTACATCAATATTTTCAATATTAACTGAAAAAAAGAAGGAAGGAAGGAAGGAAGGAAGGAAGGAAGGAAGGAAGGAAGGAAGGAAGGAAGGAAGGAAGGAGAGAATTTTTTTCAGATGGATGATAAATTGTAGTGTAGCATCTGAGTTTAATTGTTTTCTTGCAGACATTTCATGACCCAACTAGGTAATGTCTTCATGCTAGAAGGGTGTAGGGTTAACAGAGAGCAAACCCTGCTCCCTTCTAGTACTAATGATGTTACCTAGTTAGATCATGAAAGTAGGTTGTGCAAATCCAACCCATTTACCAAGTGTGTGGTTCATTGGGCCAAACCAGAAGACGACTCCATTCACACAAGCCACTTAACCAGTTATCACTCTCTGGAATCACCCCATATGTTGGACTATACTGTGTTTCCCCAAAAATAAGATAGGGTCTTATTTTCTTTTGACCCCCGAAATAAGCACTTGGCCTTATTATTATGTTTGAGGTGCTGTAGGCGCCCCACCTTTTTGGAAGAAATGCAAATCAGCTGGCAATTTTAAGTATTAGAAACCATCCTAGCTGATCAATAAAGCAAAGGTATCAGAAGGGATAATAAAAAGTTAAAATGGAAACAATAAACAGCTGTTTGACAAATGGAAACTGACTGAGTAGAAATGCTAATTCCGCCTGTCATGGAGTTTGACTGGGAGGTGTCCTCTTGAGGAAAAGATGATACTCTTAACAGGCTACATGCCATGAACAGACATGCTGGGGATCCAGAATTCTCCCAGCTCCCAGCACAATTCTGTTCTGACCAAGGCTTCCCAAGAGCCTAAAGCAAAGTTCTGATCCCGACAAAAACCCCTTTTATTAATTTACTGTGAATTCTGCCAATTCACATCCTGCAAAGGAAAGAGGGAGGATACAGTCACTGACCTTAACTGGCT